CTTTAGCGCTCTCTACGCTTAAACAACGGCGGATTGGAGAACTACATCAAGTTAAACGATCGAAGTTGGTCAAATAGTGAATGCGCCAAAAATATGGCGTTTTGAAATCCATTATAGTATTATCAAACTTTCAATATGGATATATCAAGCTAGTAACTAATCGAAATCATTCTTCTACATATAAAAAAGAGATCTAATCCATGTTTTACGGACTTTGATGGTTTTTTTCTTTGGATATAATAAATTAAAATTCTAAAATTATTAATATCTGATTTTAAGTATAAATGATTTATACTTTATAAAGTTTTTAATGTAACTACACGTAATAAACTGAGATCCGGATTTCTGAAGTTGAGGTTTATGTACACGTGAAATAAAGGCCGCTAATTTTTAACTAAGGAAAATGACAAATGAAAACGTTGTAAAAATATAATTAAGAATTTATATTTGGAGCAAGGTAAGATTTTGGTAAAATGTTGTGTGTGGGCTATTTTCGTTGATATATCTTTCTGATTTATACTTTGATCCCTGACTGAACCTTAAACGACACAGCGTGACGAAATCCTAACAATATATTTAAAGACTCATCGATTTTAGATTTTCTACTCATTATCGAAGCATGTTTGCTGATGTGCGAAAATTTTGTCAATTTCTAGAACTAGCCTACTCATCAGGACAAAATTTAATTCTATATCTCGTCTGTACTACTGTACTATCACTATCATGATAACTTTGGTCAAAGTTTATTAAAAGAATTTGAGCTTGCGGAGAAAAATATAAAACCTACATAATGTTGATCTTTCTAAGCACTGAGATCTGACAAAGCTTTTTGTTCGTTTGAAGTAAAACATCAATCACGGCACCGCCTTCGAGGTGTTTTCGCACGGAGAGATGGGGCAACGACCTACATATATCCAAGCGGGTAATCCCTCCGCCCTCAGCTTCCAACCCTACGCTGAGGGAGGAACGATCGTACTTTCACTTTGCTTTCGCAGCAGCACAAATTCAGTTTCGCAATTTTTATTCATTTTTCCCCTTTCGACTACAGAAGAAAAGGAATTACGACGACGAAGGATCCTTTAAATGAATTCGTTTGTCCTTCTTCGCAAGTAGCAACATGCCTCACTCAATCAGAAGTCTTTGACGCATTCACCATAACAAAAATATCAAACGAATATTTAAGGATCATTAATTCGAGTAAATAGAATATATACAATATATCTGCTGTATCATAGCGCAACTTGTAAAATATACGTTCATGTATTCACATATCGTGCTTCGTCGATGCACGATTACGAAACCGACAATTGTCAATTATTATCGGAATTGATAACCACAATTTCACTTATTTATAAAAGAACAAAAAAATTGATTAATTGATTATAGCCGCTGAATGAAGAAGCATATTCTTGTTTCCCTATACACGATTTTCAAACATTGCGTTCGCGTCGGACGAGCATGCTCAAGAAGCAGAACAGGAACATGGTTCATCAAGTCAACAAAGTCTTCGTCACAATAAACGCCATCCACCTGTAACATTCGCGGATTCCCCGAACTGAAAGACGTACATATACTACACATACTATTTTAAAAGGCACGTATACAATATATAAAAACGATAAAATATGAAAAGTCGTGCGTGAGAACGTGGAACGTCAATTCCTTCATACACGTTTCGCATGGTACACGTTTGGTACACGTACGTAAGCGGTGACTTCTATTCAGAAGCAATGATGGTGGTCGAACGGTAGAAGAAAGGCAAAGCAACGAGAAAGAAGGGAAAAAAAAGGGGGATGAACAGTTTGGAGTAGATGGATCGGTAGCCATCGGTGGACGGTCGCGAAGAGGCGGTGGGGCTGGTGGCGGAAAGAGTCGAGCTGGCCACGTGGATCAATACCGAAGAGGGTGAAGCTGCCTCCACCGTTTGCGAGTAGCAGTATGCTCGCGCCGCGGATACGCGCCGCACGTTCCTCGCTCGAGCCTTTGCACACAGTGAGCAGCCAGCACACAGCACAGGGTTCAACGACTACGCAAGCAACGTACTCTCGCGTACTCCAGCCACTCGATCTTCCCTTTGCTTCCAATTATCGTCAATTCGAGCTTGCTGCCCCCGCCAAGGATTCCCATTCGCTCTCCTCTTCGTCCGTGGCCGTACAAACATGACACTCGACTGCGATCCCGAGGGAATCTCCGAGGTCTTAAACCAATTCTCGAGAAAGAGACTCGCTCGGCGTTTGACCCTTGCCTCTCCTTCTAATCGGCCTGACACCTGTCACCACCGACTCTCCGCCAAACGGATTCGCCACTCGGCTGCCTCTCTTGCAAACAATGTCGCCGGGACGCTCTCGTTCGCCTCGTTATCGCCTCGTTCTTTTTTCACCGAATGAGAAAGTTTGACAGAAGAAACGGGAATACGGTGAAAATGGAATCGTTTTATTTACTCGTTCAAGTGCGAACAGTATGAGGGTCGATGCTTGGATCGTTGTTCGCGGATAGCAGCTGAGAAACAAATTGAACGACTTTCCCTTTTGACCAATCTCACCAGACACCAAACCTTCTTCTTACTTTTTTCTCTCAATGTTGCAAGTATATTTACAAATTTCTCTTGCCCATAAGAAAAAGTTGCTCAAAGAATAATGTCATCTGGATGAAAAGAGAGAGAGAGAGAAAGAGAGAGAGAGAGAGAGAGACAGAGAAAGGGCGAGGCAGTCGATCGCTTTGTATTTCGATCCCGAAACGGCAAGATGGTGATATCGGAAAGGCAAGGGAGGGGCGTAAATTGCTGACGAGTCTCGCTTCTCGAAAACCCTTTCGTTCAGCTTGCTTTCGATCTTTTCATCTCGCGTGTCGACGCGTGAACGACAAAAGGAACTCGTGACAGATCGGCCGCGTTTCTGCTTTTTCTGCTTTCAGCGTGCGCCGTTGTATCCATGGAGAACGTGAAATGACGTGCTGATCGTGGGTATCGGTGGGTCCGGTGGTTTAGCGGTCAAAATCGCCAAGGTGTCCGGATCAGTGCGCCGACGTGCGAGTTTTCGCGCGGTGATGCAGATTGCCTGATAGAACGCGATCGCGTTGCAAAGGAGAAACAGTTACACAAGTGTGATCAAACGGCGTTCGAGTCTTCCAGCGAATTAGAAGGTGAGTATCCTGAAGATCCCTTCTTTTCCCTCGAACAAATTGAAGCAACTTCTTATTTGGAGAAGTCGTGTGAATCATCGAGAGTTAGCGAGACCGAGTTTTCATCGACACGAGCGTAAAGGGAATGCGAAATCAAACGAAACGTCGAATAGTTGACAAACTCGTCGCCAAAACCGAACAAACGACGCGTAAAGATAATGTGTTTTATCAGGTGTCTTCTTATCAAAGTTATTTGCTTCCAGTTTGATGCGATTAATGTTCTTTCTCGCAAATTAGGCGTTAATCACAGATCAAAGCAAATAATCACTTTGAATGATAGGTACAATGGATGCGTGTCCAAAGATAAACGTTTTTGATAATGTCAGCTGAAAAGTATTAATTTGTCAGATTATCATCAAACAAAAATTATCAGGGAACGATTAGGAACTACGACCAATTTGTTATCAATTAAGAAGTACTAAAGAACCGCCATCAAGGCAAGAACTATCTAAAAATCTAATGACTAAGAATAAACAATCAGTTTATCATCGACAAACATTACCAAAGAACTGCTGAAAACACAGGAAAATTCAATGACTATGAATCAGCAATTTATCATCAGTCAGGAACTGTCGTTGTCTGGAAATGCAACGATGGAAAAACACCAATCGACTATTAATTTACCATCAATCAAAGATTCCTAAAGAACTGTTCGTGCGAAAATGCGACAAATCAACCATCGATTTATCATCAATCAAAAAAAACTAGCATCGAGCAAGGCAAACACGCACGTAAATGCTTGTGCAATTAAAACTTACAAGTTAATTATCAATTCATTGTCAAATCAAGAACCACCAAAGGACTATCATGAAACAGAAGAACCACTCGTACGAAAATTAAACGATTAAGAACTAAGACTTGATCAACTGTCGACTTATAATTAAAAAATTTGTCAAAGAACTGTCCATAAAGAAATGAAACGAAAATTCGACGACAAAGTCGCGTGTAAATATTTCGTGTAATTTTCCGCGAGCGATCGACTATCGAACCGTGTTATTTCTGCCGATCATTATCGTCGATTGATAACGAGCGAAAGGCCAAGCAGTTCGCTGTTGATGCACCGCATTCGTGTTTTCCCACCTCTTGGCCAACCTGTCACCTGTTCTCAATCATGTGAAAATCTTGACTGCGTAACTAGTTGACTAGCTGGCTTCGAGCGGTTTCCATCGATGTTCGGAGATCGCGAGGTCAACGCGACGATAAGTTTCTAACGATCGTCGCGTAAATAATTGCGACACGCGGTCTGACCTATGATCGTTTGGCGATGATATCACCGTTCGCCGCCTCGAGCCAGTCCGCCGGCTATAATGAAAAAAGCAAACTGAAAAATTGGCTGTTTGAACAGAAGTTTAGCGAGCTGCTGCGAAGAGCGGGCAAACAGACAACGGCGATATCAATTTCTCAGCGTAAACGTTTGCGGATTACCCGAGAATTGATTGCGTCTATTTACACTTGGCACGCGTGGCCGTGCTCGCACGCTCGATTTTCTTTTGAAATGTCGCCCATCGATCTCGTGGACGCGGCTTGAAACGAGAAGAGAAGAGGAGTTTGCCGATCGCGGGGGAGGGAAAGTAATCGCTCGGAAAATCCGTGAAGTCGTGGGGAAGTCGTGACTTTTAAAGTCTCTCGAGTCGGTGTAGATTGCGAGACGAAGGTTGAGAAATTGGCGAGTTTTAATATATTCTGGAAAATCTAGGAAAGTCACGAGTTGAAATTGTAAAAATATGCGAGCAGAAATCGCGTGAGAAGATCAACAAGGAAGTTGTAAGTTTGTTGTAAGTCGTGGCACACGCAGAATTACGTCTAAAACATCCGAAAGAATTGCAAACCGACGTGAGATTAGAAAAACTACGAGGCAAGATTAGAAAAATTCCCGAGTCACGATAACAAAGTTCATACACGTTCGAACAACGATCTTTCGAAAAGCACACGATGTCGGAGCATTATCTCGTCAGTGTTCGACTCGTCAGCGTCGGCTGATTCATGTTCCACGACTGTCGCCGATCATCGCGAGTGGAAAGCCTTTAGCCTTTGGAACACAAACACACACCGGTGTCAGCCGATGGTAAACAGTCGATCGGCGATCATCGTGCCGTTTAGACGTTCGTAAACGTCCATAGAAGCTACGAGTGTGAGAGTGGACGCGCGAGTGCGATTAACCGGCACGGACCGCGATTACGCTGTCTGTCTAGCAGCCAGCGTGTCAGCGTGCCAACGTACCACCGTACCAAAGCGTGTATCACCAGCGTGTGCATCACGCCCACGTTTCTATTTCCCTGCTAATCGAATTCGGCCATGAGGATCCTCGTCTGACCGATCTCATCGTCTGCAACGTCTCGACCGGCTTCGATATCAGCGTCGCCCTAGCTTCCAAATTTCGAGCATATATTTTCGGAGGAGGAAACGCCGGACCATGAATTCGAACACTCCCAGGCACGAACTGTACAATTTGAGGTAACCACGTTTGTCCTTGATTTAATTGGCAAGGAATTCGAGCACGATGCAAATTCCTAACGATTCCGAGGATCGTCGAATCGAATCGATTCTTTCCCACTGACTTGTCATCTGTCACGCACATCTGTGGGACAAAATTCGTATAGACATATCATTAAATAAATATCAATCAGTGAACACATTTCGTGAGAATCGAATCAAAGTTACAAATCGTCTGCCAATGGCACGTGTTTGGAGAAATGCATCGATTTGTTCCGTAAATTCTAATTCTAACAAATTGACATACTCGGTTAAAGGTCATTGGTAATATCGCAAACTACGTTTCGCTATTGAAGCCGTAAGATTACACTTTGAATTTTTAATTTTCGTCCATTCATCGAGACACTGTACGACACTGTCTTATCTTGCTAGGTTTTTTCAAATAAAAGACGAGAAGTAAAAGAACGTTCTTTTTCAGTGCTGGTGTAATATTTTCCCTTCCTTTTAAACGTCAGCTGGCTTTCAACGGTGTTTCAACTTTAATAATCATGTTACTCAACACAATGGATCGAATCCTTATCAACGTGTGTTTAAAGTTATTTTTAAAGTTATCGTTTAAATACCGTTTTCCTGTTTATCGCCCGAACGAAATTTCCACGTTTTATCAACGTTGAGCAACAGCGCTCGTCTGTCGTTCCGTGGCGCAATTTTCACTGGTTTCGTTTCGTTCAAATTATGCCTGATTCAAACAGCTCGTCCGCTCGATACCGCGTTAAAATGGAATCGTTGAGCATCGGGAACATTGGTTTATTTGTTGACAGCGTTATCGGTGACCCATTTTTCATTCCATTCGACTCTGGTGTCACTCTACATCGAATTTTCGGCGAAATGGCGGAAGCCGGTGTTCGTCTGTCTGTGCTCAGACGCGAACAGCATTGGAAATTCATTAAATTTCGTACGGTAAATAAAAGTGAGTCTCGCCGTCGTAAAATTGAAACGGCGTGACGCGCGATTTCACACTGAAGAAATATGCCAATATCAATAAAAGAACGCAAAACAACAGAAGAAAATTAAGAAAATAGATTGTCTAGACGATAAGTGACTCGACATCGTTGATATTGAGAACGCGATGGTATCAAAGTGTATACTCTGCGATAATGAAAGAGGAAGCTCCCTCAGACAATTAGGTACTTACATGAATGAAGTGTACTTACATGAGTTAAATGTTAAAGACGATTGTCGAGGTAATTTTAATTGCTGTAATATAATTATTACGATATCATAATCAAACAGTTCCTCTGACTGAAGATTTTGATGACAAAAGAATCGAAAGGTAACACAGGAGATTTTTATAAGTTATTTTTAAAAATAACTTACGCTGACTCGCTTTTGAATGTTTTATATGATGGATTGTAATTGTTTAAATTGCTTTGATAATCTACTTTAGTGAATTTCTATATATTTATTTAAAAATTAGTATAAAACATATGTACTTATAATCTTTTTCATTTTGAACTTCACCAATATAATTAGGACAGTCGGATCTTACTACAGTGGTAATAAAAAAATGTCGATGTCAGTGTTTCATATAACACACATATAATATATTCAAAAAATAAATAGAATAGTAATAAACATGCTTGCAGTTGTAGTTGTTCAAATAATTTTGCAAAATACATATTCATATTAAATATCTTGTAATAACAAATATATGTCATATATCTTGCAATCTCGTGTTAATAAAATGTCAAAGTGTTTTGTGTAATGCACGTAATGTATTCGCAGAAAGTTCAAATATTTTCGTGAGAACGTGCGTCATATATAAGATGGTAATATTAAACTATAAAAGAAAACAAACTGTCAAGATGATAAGTGATTTGATATCGTTGATACCGCGATGATTTCGAAGTGATACCTCGACGATACCCCGCGATAATGAAGCAAGAAGCATGTTCCCAAGTTTAAAATCTTAGACGACTTCACCTTGCGCATTACAGTAATCTTGGAAATGATGCGCGTTAACACGCTACGTTGCGAAATTTTCATCGTAACTCGCCAACGCGCGAAAATAATTTTAATGTTAAAGCGCGTCGTTGCTTTTCCGCGATGAAGTTGTTCCAACGACCTAGTCATCCAGCTATGGTCGTTGCAAGCAACGCTATCTACAGTAAAGAGATTTTCTACGACTTCTTTATTACTACGTATAGTACAGTATAATACCGGTTACACTTTTATTGCACTTGTATTACATGTATTTTCAAAGGAACATATTGGATCAGTACATTTTATTAAAATTCCTATGGATGATAAAACATCTGACACGTTTCTTTTTATTGGACACAGTCCATCTTGAAGATCTATATTTGTATATACAAATTTACATGAAAATGGATTTAAAAAAAATCCAAATTTTTAATACGTTATTTTAACACATTATACATGATTTTTAATTTAAATTTAATACATTATTATATATAACAGACTGTTAATCTAAATTTTTAATGAGATGAAATATGCCACCAAATTTTAATTTTAACGACTATAAGCAAACCTTTTAATATGAACGATGGCTGATAAAGAAAATATAATATCAAATGCAATATTTCATTGAGAATTACAATTTACATAACTTTCATCGCAATTTGCATATACGAGCTTGTACAAGTTTTACTCCTCTCGAATTAGGATTATATAAATGACTATAATCATTTTGATCATCTTTGAACTGACTATAATAACTTGAATTAAGTTATTAAGTTAAGATTTTTCTGATTTTTAGTTAAAAGACTGTACAGTTAAAAAAATTATAGTATCTTTCAGTTTTTTATTTTTCTTGCATATTTCTTGGCTGTGCTATGCCAATAATGGTAGATGTATTAAATATATACTCTATACAAGGGAATCACTATCGATACCAGAAGTATGTCTACTGATATTAGAGGATCCACATATTTCGTACGCAGAACTTTTGGCCGATAGTATATACGTAGATTTGTTTTTCGAATTTCAGTTTAAAAATTAATCGGAATTCTAGAGATCGTTTCTATTCTTGGCAAAGAAGTCTCTATCAATCGTGATTCTCCGCGCGTCCCACGAATCGAGCCGACTCATAACCGGCTCGGTCGTTCAGACGATTCTTCGTAACGAGCAATTATTTCGATCGTTATACTTTTACGTTTCAATTATACACGACCGGTGTTCGTGCGAGCGGCACAACTTTGTCGCAGATGAATCGGAAGAAAAAAAAATATTTGCCGTATCACAAGGACTTTTTCATTTGACGTTGTTGACGCTCGTTAATGCACTTTCCGCTGTTCAGCGATCGTCGTGAATTTCGTCGCGTTTTTTAGCACATTATAATTTTTAATTTAAATTTAATACGTTATTATATATATAACAGACTATTAATCTAAATTTTTAATGTATATATCTATTCGAGTATCGTGCCCGTTTCATTCAGATATTCTTTCGAAATTGTCGCATGCATCGATTAATTGCCAGTTAGCTTTCTCGAAGTCGAACGATCGAAGTTGCGCGTGATATGGAGTAAAAATGTGGAAAGTGGCTCAAGGAATGAGGATTAGTGATATCGAATACGAGACATAGGATATTAGATATGTGGAGCATGGGGTGAAAATGTTTTAGTAGTGGAAATTTCGATAAAAGATATTCGTTGGAGACACTGGAATGGAATAGTACGAGTAGCAAAGTATTAAAGTATTCATTTTGCGTGGCTCTAAATAATTGATGTCCATATACACTCATATTAAATAGATATCTATATACATGTATAGAAATTAATTTAATCGTTTCGATTAATATAATCGTGACAGTTGAACCTCGCTACAAGTTGATAAACTATCAAAGTATTTCACGTAACACAATTTAATAAAATGTTCCTATACATTAACATTCCTATACAAACGAGAAGAAAAGGCGTGATGTCTGGGGAATATATATCTCGTCTTTTCATATCAACGGATACCGGGTTGACCTCCAACAATTAAACAATTATCGTGTGCTTCCCTCGTTTATTATGCCACTCTCCTTTTGTTGAAGCGACAAACGAGAGGGCCGACCATTATGTAAAACTACATGTATATATATATACATACACACAGGCGGAACGTTGATAATCATAGTGTAATTATCTACTTGACGGCTGGTAATCCTCGGCTGACCGGTTCGACATTTGTCGCGATCTTGACATTCCGCCAATCGGCCTCGATTAGAAGAAGCTTCCTCGATTGTACTAGATTTGACCGAAATTTCGCTCGTGAAAATTCTCACAATCCCCTGCCATTTCGCGTAAATGCACTTCCTCGATACAAAGTTTTCACGTATTGTACATGATCAGAAAAGTATATTAACCATACAATTATATTGGTCAGGTATGAAAAGAAAATTATATCTCGCAGAGATTACAAAATTATTTAAACAATCACAATCCATTACACAGACGAGCTTCCATATTCAATGAAAGCATTTTTAACTTGTTATATGTTTAAAGTGGTTACATCCATTTTTTTTTTTTTTTTTTTTTTTAAATATATGATCATCGTGACTAAATATCGCTCACTTCCATAGACTTTTTTCACGACAAAGTAACAGCCACTCAACGTATATAGACTCGGCTTACACGTGTAATTATAATGCGCAGCGTAATCGTACAGTTGCAGCGAAAAAGTGTCGAAGAACACGTATCTTTCGAAAAATACACAACGTCTGTATACTTTCCAGACTGCGTTTTCACTCTTATCGCGCTTAACGCTCTTATCGCTTCCGAATGATACACATTATCGTTGCCGCATTTTTCGGACGGGATCACGTAGTTCTTGCGATTGAACGAGAAATGTTGACATAGGTATTAGAAAATTATTGCACGATACGTAATTTTAAACTTCAACAGTCAAGTATTAAATGAGCGTATGTGCATGTCTGAAGCTTCGATCATTTTTGCAGAAATATATATATCGACTAACGTAAGATTTAAAAGCATTTGGTTTGCATATTTAAAACAG